GAGCTTCTTTAAAAGACAAAACAAACTTCTAAGCACTTGGCATTGAGTATAGCATTCGCTCATAGTGTTTATGGTTACCCTCTACTACATTAAGAAAGGGTTGTTTATTCCTAACTTACTGAAGTATTTACATGTTTTCAATAATGAATTAATATTTCATCTATATAGAATGTTCTGTCTGATCAGTTTTATTTTTTATATCCAGAGATTTTTTTTTTTTGCATTTTGGGTCACACCCGGCGATGCTCAGGGGTTACTCCTGGCTTTGCACTCAGGAATCACTATTGGCAGTGCTCGGGGGACCATATGGGATGCTGGGAACCAAACCTGGGTCGGCCGCGTGCAAGGCAAATGCCCTACCTGCTGTGCTATTGCTCCAGCCCCACATCCAGAGATTTTTATTACAGTACTTTACTTATTAATGCAGGTACTTAATGCTATCTACAATATAATATTTTATTTATTTATTTTTTATTAGTGAAACACCATGAGGTACAGTTATAGACTTGCAAATTTTTGTGCTTGGGTTTCAGTTATACAATGATCAAGTACCCATTCCTCCACCAGTGCCCATCCTCCACCACCACGGGTCCCAGCATCCCTCCCATGCCCCATCCCCCCCATCCCACCCGGCCTCTGTGGCAGGGCATTCCCTTTTGTTCTCTCTCTCTCTCTCTCTCTCTCTCTCTCTCTCTCTCTCTCTCTCTCTCTCTCTCCTTTTGGGTCCTGTGATTTGCAAGAGAGGCACTGAGTGGCAATCATGTTTGGTCTATAGTCTACTTTCAGCATGCTTCTCCCACCCTGGGAGGATCCTCCCAACACCCTTTATTTGGTGCTCTCTTCTCTATCTGAGCTTTCTTTTCCCCTAGCATGTGTGGCTGGCCTCCAAGTCATGGAGAAAAATTCCTGGTACTAATCTCGGCCACTCCTGGTTGTTAGTCTTCCATTTTGTTGCTTTATGTTCCCCCAGATGAATGCAGTCTTTCTGTGTCTATCCCGCTCTTTCTGACTCATTTCACTTAACATGATACTTTCCATGTAATACCACTTGTATGTGAATTTCATGACTTCATCTTTTCTAACAGCTACATAGTACTCCATTGTGTAAATGTACCAAAGTTTCTTTAACCAGTCATCTGTTCTCGGGCTCTCAGGTTTTTTCCAGATTGTAAAGAGTGCTGCAATTTGTAAATTTTTTCCAGATTGTAAAGAGTGGTGCAATGAACAAACAAGTGCAGATGTCACTTCGACTATACTTTTTTTGCCTCTCTGGAATATATTCCCAGGAGTGGTATTGCTGGGTCAAATGGGAGATCAAATTCTAATTTTTTGAGAATCGTTCATACTGTTTTCCCAAAGGGTTGGACCAGTCAGCATTCCCACCAGCAGTGAAGAACGGTCCCTTTCTCGCCACATCCGCGCCAGCATCAGTTGCTTTTGTTCTTTTGCATGTGGGCCGGTCTCTGTGGTATGAAATGATATATCATTGTTGTTTTGATCTGCATCTCCCTGATGATTAGTGAGGTAGAGCATTTTCTCATGTGTCTTTTAGCCATTGGGATTTCTTCTTTGCGAATGTTTCTGTTCATTTCTTCGCCCCATTTTTTGATGGCGTTGGGTGTTTTCTTCTTGTGGAGTTCAACCAGTACCTTGTATATCCTTGATATCAACCCCTTGTCAAATGTGTATTTGGCAAATATCCTTTCCCATTCTGTAGACTGTCTTTGTATTTTGATCACTGTTTCTTTTGAGGTGCAGAATCTTCTTAGTTTAAGATAGTCCCATTTGTCTATCTCTGTTTTCACTTGCTTGGCCAGTGGCGTGACATCTTTGAAGATACCATTAGGTTCAATATCATGGAGGGTTTTGCCAACTTTGTCTTCAATGAACTTTATGGATTCTGATCTGATGTTGAGGTCATAAATCCGTTTTGATCTTACTTTTGTGCATGGCGTTAGGCAGAGATCTGACCCCACTTTTTTGCATGTAGCCGTCCAGTTTTGCCAGCACAATTTATTAAAGAGGCTTTTCTTGCTCCATTTCACTTTTCTTGCCCCCTTATCGAAGATTAGATGATCATATGACTGGGAAAAGATGTCAGTATATTCATCTCTGTTCCATTGGTCTGCAGCTCTGCATTTGTTCCAGAACCATGCTGTTTTAATTATTACTGCTTTGGAGTAGAGCTTGAAGTTGGGGAGGTTGATTCCTCCCATTTTCTTTTTCCCAAGAATTGCTTTAGCTATTCGTGGGGTCTTTACAATATAATATTTTTAACATAAAAACAGTATTCTCTTTGTGGCGGGTGGGAGTTGGCAAACATAGCGATGCTTGAGGGTTACTTTTTACTTTGCACTCAGAAATTACTCCTAGCGGTTCTTGGGGTACCATAAGCGATGCTTGGGATTGAACACAGTAGGCTTCATGCAAGACAAGCTCCCTACCTGTTGTACTATTGCTCAAGCCCCAATATTTCTTTTCTTAGGATACTTTTGTGCTTCTATAGGCCTATTTAGATTTTTTCCTTTAAATTTTCTTAACTTTTCACTCTTGCTAAATTTTACATCTGTAGGACTCATCTGTTTCACACTAATTTTAGTTGTATTAGCAGAAAATTATTCATAATATTTAAAAATTTATATACTGTGAATAAAAAAGATCATTTTTGAAAAATATTTTATTTTACAGCTTATCAATTTACAGTTCTTTGGCACTTCAAGAATTTAGCTGTTTATATGTGTATTGGTGTCACCAACCTCCACAATAAAATGTTTTTTAAAAAGATCTCTCTCATATATGGGATAAAAAAGAATGTAATGTGTCTAGAGTGTTAGTGTAGCAGGTAGGGAGTCTGCCTTTCACAAGACCAGACTGGTTTCCATCCCTCACATATGATCCCCCGAGCATTGCTAGGACTGATCCCTGAGTGCAGAGCCAAAAGTAAACCCTGCACACAGCCAGTTGTGGCCCAGAAAAGATAAAAAACCGCCAAATTAAAGAAAAACATAGTAAAGGAACAACAACTAGCCAAAGTCAATGGAACTAGGGATTTTGTCTCTAGAACTGACCTAACATGGATGGGGGTGAGGGTGGTGGTGGCTGGAAGGGGTCCTTGGAACACTAATGGAAGGAAGTGGGCACTCTGGTGGTGGGTGTTAGAATGATGTGAACATGAAAAGTATAATTAAGAGTTTTGTAAATGTTGGAATGATGTAAACATGAAAAGTATAATTAAGAGTATTATAAATCCTGGCACCTTTGTAAAAGTGGTAAAATACAAAAACAAAAAACTGCAGGCCTCAAGGCCAATCTGATTTAGCTTTTCCAACTGCAGAGGGTCCTTCTGAATTTGGGGCAGGAATAGGGGTGAGGAGAAAAGGAAGTTGCAAAAGCTTTGACCAGGGATCAGTTGATCAATAGATAATCAGATAGATAAAGCTTTCATTGTTTTTCTTTCTGAAAAGGAAAGTGGTTTTGAAATACCATCTTTTGTGTGTGTGTGTTTTGCAGGGAGTCAAACCCACAGAGCAAGGCAGACACTATAGCTCTGAGCCACATCCTTGACTCCATCTCACTTCTTTAGAATAAATTCTATGGCCAGTCACATGGCAAGGCATGCGTTTTGCCCCAGTGATGTTTTTTAATAGCACAGAGGGTAGGGCGTTCGCCTTACAAGTGGCCAACATGGCCGACCCGAGTTCGATTCCTCCGCCCCTCTCGGAGAGCCCGGCAAGCTACCGAGAGTATTCGATAGGCCAGACACAGTAACAACAAAGTCTCCAATGGAGACGTTACTGGGCCCGCTCAAGCAAATCGACGATCAATGGGAGGGCCTTTACCTTTTACCTTTACCTTTTTATTAATATATTTTGGCCTGGGAGCCACACGAATGGTAATGCTCAGAGGCCACTCATGGCTCTGTGTTTGGATGGTGCTCCCAGATGCACTCAAGAAATCATGCTGACTTCCAGCCTGCAAGCATGTGATGAGTCCATTAAGCCATCTCTGCAACAGTTTATTTTAATTATTATTATTATTATTATTATTATTATTCGGGCTGGAGCGATAGCACAGCGGTAGGGCGTTTGCCTTGCATGCAGCCAACATGGCCGACCTGAGTTCGATTCCTCCGCCCCTCTCGGGAGAGCCTGGCAAGCTACCGAGAGTATCTCACCCGCATGGCAGAGCCTTTCAAGCTACCCGTAATGTATTCGATATGCCAAACACAGTAACAACAAAGTCTCCAATGGAGACGTTACTGGGCCCGCATTGAGCAAATCGATGAACAACGGGAGGACTGATTATTATTATTTTGCTTTTTGGGTCACACCTGGCAATGCTCAGGGGTTACTCCTGGCTTTGCGCTCAGGAATTACTCCTGGCAGTGCTCAGGGGACCATATGGGATGCTGGAAATCGAAGCTGGGTCGGCCGCATGCAAGGCAAATGCCCTACCCGCTGTGCTATTGCTCCAGCCCCAGCAGTTTATTTTTTAAATTTATTTTGTGGTGTCAGAAATTGAACCCAGGGCCTCATATGCAAGACATGTACTCTACCACTGTATCACATTCTGGTTTGCCTCAATGATGTTTAGAAAGAAAATTCTCCAAAGAACTAGGAATTGAGTTTGCACTAGGGTTAGAAATTGGACAGAAGAGCACACACATTTTATAGGGCAGCACTCTGTAAACTTTTACACCTGTGGATTGGTACCTGTCCTGTATAACCAAAGCGATAAACTCAGGGTTTTCAGACTGGCCCTGTCTGTGGACTGTGATTGGAGATCACTGGTATAAAGTTTCTTGATAATGTTATCTAGAGCATGAATGAGAATATAAACTTAATTTTGTTCTGGTTTTTTTGTTCCTTGAGAATGGATCCATCCATTTGCTTTAGTTTTTGTTTGTTATCCTCCAGATGCTTTACATATAATTTATTGATATTTGTTACATTAAGTTTTGAAACCTGATCCATTGTATCCTCTCTGGATTTTCATTTCAGTACTTCTCTGAATGGCACCAACACTCCTTCTTTTTCTGGTCCCTGGGAAGATAAAGAGCACAGTGCCAGGGCCTTTGCTAACTGTTGTGGATTCTACAACAATACTCTCTGCGGTGAAGCTGGTCTATTTCCATGGCAATTTTGAGGACTTTGTTGCTTATGTACTCAAAGGTCCTATTTCACATAACATCATGATCTTTTGTAGTAAATGTAAAAATGTAAATGTAAATGTAAAAATTTCAGTTTGCCTAGCTGGATGTCAAAAATGAAACTCAACTATTGTCTTTCTATTTTAAATAAATTAAATAGAAATTTTATTTAAATTTATAGGTTAAATTAAATAGAAAATTACTTATGGGTCCTGAGTTTAGAGTTGAAATAATAAGCATCTCCATAAGAAAACCCTTGTAAATATTGCTCCTAGTTCCCATCTAAAAAATCATGTGATGCATTGTGCAATAAATATGATTTGGTGTGTAATGTGTTCTGAAGTGAAAAGCTATTTGTTAAAATTCTGTGGATAAGTTGCATTTGTGGTATTAAATTCTGCATGAAATGTACATGACTTATATGATTTTTCTGGTTGTTAGTCATTCCTAAATCTGCAAACTCTTAATATCATTGCATAACAAAAAATGTGTCATTTATGCAGATCTATAAGGATTTATAAGGAAAATGCCCTTACTTTCTTTAAGTATTCTATCAGTGCCACATTTGCTTCAAGTTTACAGAGAAGGAATAAAAACTAGTTTTCAGTGGGAAAGAGGAAGAGGTATTTTTACTTCCTAGGTGACATTTGGCCAAGTGTTGATGCAGTATTTGTCACAACTGGGAGCAGGGTGAAATGATACTGACATCATCTTGGCAGAGGCTCAAATTGCTGCTGAGCACAGGTAAGTCCCTGAAACAGAGATTCCCCCAGCCCCAAATGTTTGCAGTGTTAAATCTAAGACACTGTGATTTTGTGTTTAATGCATTTATTACATTAATATTACTTTTAATATTAACACTATTATAGCTTTAAGAAAGAACTTCAAAAGAATGTTGAACACACGGACTGTGGAAATAGACCAGAAGGCAAGGCACTTAGGCACTTGCCTTCTATGTGAACTTGATGGCTGTGACCTTGATTTGAATCCCCAGTAAAACATACAAGTTTGAGACCCTGGTTTCAATCCCTGGCACCACACACACACACACACACACACACACACACACACAGAATTTAAACATATGACCTATAATCCCTCTCCTAGATACATCTCCAAAGAACTGAAAACAGGTATTTAAACAAATACATTTGCATGTGTGTTCATAATAACTCTATTCACAATTTTCAAAAGGTGGGAAACTGTTCATATGCTTATTAATGGATTAATTAGTGGATAAGTAAATTATGTTTTATTCAAACAATGCAATTTTATTGGTTATAAAAACCATGAAGTACCAATACATGCAGGTAAAGGAACCCGAAACATGCTAAATCAAAGACACCAGAAGCAAAGAAAGCTCATTATTTATGATTACATATGATTCGATTTATGTGAAATATTCAGAATAAGTCCACAGAGACAGTACATCAGACACAGAGAGAGTACAGGAGGTAAGCCACTTGCTTTTCATGTAGCTGTGGCAGCTATAACACTCGTTCAAATCCCTGGTACCATATATAGTCCCCCTGAGCCAGGGGTCACTACTGAGCTCAGAGCAGAAATAGGCCCTGAGCATTGCTGGATGTGGCCCCCAAACCCAAAATAAATACATTTTAAAAAGAATACATATTGGTGATTACCAAGAGTTTGGGGGGTGGGTGGCGTTTCACAGGGAATAGGAGATGATTACTTAATAGGGAATGACTACAGCTTTACTTTGGAGTGAGGAGTTACTTGGGAACTAGAGAGAGATTATGATTGCAATATTTACAACACTGTGCATGAAGTAAGTGTCATTTTATGATGGTTAAACTATTATGAATTTTGCCTGAAAAAAACTATACTTTTGAAACAGATATAGATACTTAATGTTCCCTTGGCTATTTTACCTTTCTTCCGTTTCTCAATTATCTGAACTCAGAACTTGTTAGTTTTATTTCAAGTCTCCATGACGATCTCCACTCCCATATTTTTCACATTCAATATAAATAAAGATTAAATCTCAAGAAACTGCTATTTTGATCTAGCTGCTAATTTTACATTTTGCCTGGCTGCTTCTGAGAGGCAGCAGAATTGCATTATTCTGGTTGGTTGATGGGATAGGACTCTAGTATATGAATTGAATGACTGTGACCTTGATTTGAAGGTCATAGATCACTTAGATTGATTCTGACTCAGCCGTTTATTCACCAAGGTCACAAAAGTTAAGGAACCAGCACCATTTTTGTGTCTACCATTTATTCACCAACGTCACCAAGTTAAGGAACCCACACCATTTTTATCTAAAAATTGGTGAAAATGTACTTGAAATAGTGGAGGCAGTAGCAGAGGAAAACTTCCATATGAACCTAAGTTCTTGGCTTTGTTTGCAGGCTGAAAACCTTGAGAAAAGCACATTTACTTATTTTTTATGAAGCAAAATTGTTTTATTGAAACTTATTTAGAAATATTATGAGGAGAAACAGAGAAGTATGTGTTCAAGAGATAATACGGGCTTTCCGGTGTGGTAGTAGGCAAGCAAAGAAACGTAGAGACAAGCAAGCAAGACACATGTTTAGGGACTGGAGTGATAGCACAGCGGGTAGGGTGTTTGCCTTGCACAAGGCTGACCCAGGTTCGATTCCAATCATCCCATATGGTCCCCCGAGCACTGCCAAGATAATTCCTGAGTGCAGAGCCAGGAGTTAGCCCTGTGCATAGCTGGGTGTGACCCAAAAAAGAGAGAGGAAGAAAAAAAAGAGATTTTTTTAAGGGAGAACACGGGCTTGAGGAGCAAGCCTGGCAGCCTTACCAATTTTTATAAAATGATTTTTATAAAATGGACTCTGAGAACCAGTTTTAGCCAATTATTTGAGCATGTGCAGTGAATAGAAACCTGAACTTAATCTCACTTTTCCTTTCAGTAAGCCCAAATCTATACTGTCACATACCCACTAGTTTTATAATGAGATGCTAACGATATTGTGACAGATGGGCAGTGATATAGTTTTTATATACATGTGCAGTTTTAGCACCATATGAGCCCTCACTTATATTTCCCCCATTAGTATACTTCTTCTTTATTTTTAAAATTTGAAATATCTTCGTTTGCAGTGCTTAGGGTTTACTACTGGCTCCGTGCTCAGGGATCACTCCTGGTGTTCTCAGGGGACCATATGGGATGCCCGAATCAAAACCAGGTCCACTGTCTGCAAGGCAAGCACCCCACCCACTGTACTATCACTCTGGTCCCCTCCCTTCATTTTCTCATCATCTCTTCCCTGCCTCCCCTCTCCAACCTCAATTCCCAATTCTGTTGATTACATGTCAGAATTTGTTTTTGTTGGGGATTGTCTAATTCATTTTTGTTTCTTTATACTCCACATATAAGCAAGATTCTCCACTACCTATTGTTTACTTTGACTCACTTCATTCAAGTTAACTCACTTATAAAGCCCATTCCCCAAAGCCTGGTGCACACACTCCCCTGCACCTGTTCCTTGAGGGTGCACTATTGCTTAATAAACCTAAATAAACCTTTCTGCTTTCATCCACATTCTCTCTTGTCCTTGAGCTCTTTTTTTGTTATTTTTATATATTTTATTTTCACAAAAGTAGTTCACAATGGTTCATTACAGATAATATTCAAACACCAATCCCAGCACCGAGCACCTTCCCACCACAATAAGAGATAAGTGTGTGAGGGTTGTTGTATTTCATTCTGGAGCCATTTAAGCCCAAATATAAGAGAATAAAAGCAAGTATGTGAGAAACCAAACAAATGTGTTATACTTTTGATAAGTAAGTGAGGCACCGTGTAATCCTATCAATGGCCAAGACCCATAGACTATAAAACCCAGATCCCGGAAGAGAACAGTACAGAATCTCCTGCTCTCGCGTCTGGCTGTCCTCGCCAGGGCCCCTTGGAGGGGGGCAGGTTGAATTTCCCTCCCCACACCGAGCAGAGCCCCGGCAGCCGAAGACCTCCAGAACCAGCCACAACCATGCTGAGACCACTCTCCACACGCATGAAGGTACTGGCAGAGGAACAAAGGCATGCGGGTCCCGGGGCTGAGATCTCCAAGCCTGCTCAGATTGGGGCTGAGCATCCTCCACCCACATCCTCCATCTTCCAGTAGGCAGGGGGCACACCCACCAACTGCCTCCCCGCCCCCCCTCCCCGTGTCGTGTAATCCCATCAACGGCTAAGACCCAGAGACTATAAAACCCAGTTCTCAGTAGCATGCAGCTGCATTCACCGCTGCGCGACATCTTGTTATCTCATTCTTACTTTAGACAACCTGGCGGGCTATGAAATGTAACCTGCCCACACAGCAGTCTGACAAACTCCCCAGTATGCCAAATACCAGTAACAATGATGGATCTCATTCTCCTAACCCTGAAAGAGCCTTGAATATGGAACTTTTTAAAATCTCAGGGCTAGGTGAAGGAGACATTACTGGTGCCTGCTCGAGGCAATCGACTAACAACAGGATGATCGTGATCATGAAGTAAGTGAGGTAGAGTATAAGAAGTCCATGAATTCTGTGACGCTCTCTTCTGGGAACTTTAGTTTATAGACTTTGGGTCTTGGCCCTTGATGAGATTACATGGTCCGGGGGCATTTTTTGGATGTGACTGCCAAGGTACTGGAAAAGTGGTGAGCTGGGGGAGTAGGTCTAGTTCCCAATCCTAGCAGGCTTGGAGATCTCACTCATGGGTTCCCGCATACCTGGGTTTTCCTGCTGGTCTGGTGAGGTTCATCCTTGCATTCTTTCTCATGATGAAGACAAGAATTCCAGGTAAGGTTAACCTAACTTCTTTTTTACCTTACCTTTTCAAAGAGCAGAACTTGTTCTGGGCTGAGATCCATGAATCAATGAACATGAAGTGGTAGAGACATGGTTTCAGGCTATGCATGTCCAAGTGGAACTCAAGTGTGGTCTAATAACTGCCCCAGCAGGACTGGCAGAAAATTGTTCCAGGCTGTGAAGGAGCTTACACAAGAATCTCT